GGTTGCAAATTACTACTACTCCCAAATAATTCCCTTAGACCCCTTAAAAAGTGAAATAAAAGCCCTGGACCTCCGATGTTTATCCTATTGGATTGTTGTGTCAAAATGCAGGATTGTGAATGGAAGTGCAACACTCCATTAAATAGTCCAGATACATCTTTAACCACTTGAAGACCAGGTATTTGCACCCCCTTCCCATCCAGGCCATTTTTCAGTATTCAGCGCTGCGGTACTTTGACTGAAATTCATTCCGTTATGCAGCGCTGTACTGAAATTAATTTTATACCATTTTTTGGGGACAGATAGAGCTTTCTTCTGGTGGTATTTAATCACCACTGGGGGTTTTATTTTTTTACTATATAAAGAAAACATTTAGAACATGAACAGTGACTAAAGCTGTCCCACTAACAATTTTTGTAGTGACTCCTTAAACAAAAGTTAAAAAAAAAAAAAAGATTTGAAGAATAGAGTGGTACCAATGTGGTCATACACAGCTCGAAAGTCATCAGGACAAAACCAAAGCAGCATATGGCCAGCTTAAGCAGCTAGGTAAGGAAAACATAGGGGAATTTGCTAAAAATAGAAGACAGAATATGGAGCAGCTGTACATAGTAACCAATCAGCTTCTCTCTTTTCATTTCAAAGCTTAAAAAAGGACTTCAGGTAAATATGTTCAGTTAAAGCAGAACTCTGGGGAATGTTTTTTTTTAACCCTTGCAGTGGGGCTCCCCCTGCACTGTAAGGGTTAAGTGCTCATGCAGGGTCACAAATAAAGTTACTCACCAGATCCTCTAAACCAGCCGGCTGTGACAGTGCTCCCTCCATCCTGTCTCCTCCTCCCCTGCTGAGATGGTATTTAACTTAACCTCCTCACATCCTATACACGGTGTATAGAACGTGAGGATATAGGGACCTTAGACCATTTCAGTGGAGGAGGAGAGAGGGTCCAGGGGCCAGTCTAAGAGCAAGTAGGCTTGGAGTCGGAGGAGTATAACTTTTGACCCTAGGCAAAAATTAGCACTTAACTCTTGCAGTGCAGGGGGAGCCCCACTGCAAGGGTTAATAAAAATGTCCCCAGAGTTCTGCTTTAACTGAACAAACTCAAAAGAAAATCTGATTGGTTACCATGCACAGCTGCTCCAGATTCTGTCTGCTCCAGTTTTAGTAAATTAATTCCCCCCAGACTATCTGCAAGGACCCTGAGCGCTGCATTACAAGGGGCACAGGTAGAGCACCAGAGGTCTAACGTGTTTTAAATGGTAATAAAGTTTATTTTTTGTGTAAATATTTAATGAACTGTACAATGCATTAGGTAAATGGTTGAGGGGGGAAATAGGATTTTGGTACTCACCGTAAAATCCTTTTCTCTCCGTTCATTGAAGGACACAGGGAACAGATCGGAGATCATGTACCGTAGGTAATATCGCCACCTGCAGGAGAAGGACGCTAGGCACAAAAAACGAAAGACCAATTACAGCCTAGGGGCGGCCCCTGCCGGTGGCCAAACCCCCCACCTGCTGACAAGTCTCCAGTTTAGTAACAAGCAGTAAAGGAGTACACACCCACATAGAGGGGCGGGCCCTGTGTCCTTCAATGAACGGAGAGAAAAGGATTTTACGGTGAGTACCAAAATCCTATTTTCTCTCCCGTTCATTGAAGGACACAGGGAACAGATCGGAGATCATGTACTGTAGGGACGTCACAGAGCAGTACCAAAAAAGAGGGGTGGGCCAACAGAAACAACAAACCCAACTTAAACAAAAAAATTCCCTCAAACGGCCGCCTGCAACACTTTGCGCCCCAAACCAGCATCCGCAGATGCCAAAACATCCACCTTATAAAACTTGGCAAAGGTGTGAACAGAAGACCAAGTCGCGGCCTTACAAACCTGAGAAACGGAGGCACCATGGCGAAAAGCCCAAGATGCCCCAATAGCCCTTGTAGAATGGGCCGTAACAGAAAAAGGAGGCTCACGCCCCTTAATAGCATACGCCTGAGAGATCGTGTCGCGAATCCATCGAGAGATGGTAGCAGACGAGGCAGCACGGCCCCTCCGGGGGCCATCTGCAACGACAAAGAGGGAATCCGATTCCCGAAACGCAGCCGTAGCACTTAGGTAAACGCGGATGGCGCGGACAACGTCCAGACAGTGCAGTGCCCTCTCCTTCCTGTGGACAGGCTTCGGACACAAGGAAGGCAGGACAATGTCCTCATTGAGATGGAAAGCCGAAACCACCTTCGGCAAGAAAGACTGCCGAGGCCGCAGAACCACCTTGTCCCGATGCAGGACCAGCAACGGGGACGAGCAAGAGAGAGCCGCCAATTCCGAAACCCTGCGGATCGAGGTGACCGCCACCGGTCAAAACAAACGAGGCGGAAAACCCACCGACTCACACCAGGCAAAATAAGCCTTCCACGTTCGATGGTAAATCCGACGTGACACAGGCTTGCGAGCCCGCAACATCGTAGAGATAACCGCATCAGAGAGACCACGGTCCCTCAACACCTGGCTCTCAACAGCCACGCCGTCAAAGCCAACGACGGTAAAGACGGATAAAACACCGGACCCTGAGATAGAAGATCTGGGCGGAGCGGCAGGCGCCAGGTAACGTCCGCCACCAACCGAACCACATCTGCGACTTTATATTCTAGGTATAGGACCTGTAACACTACAGCAGTGGTACTGATCCTTATTAGACAACAATAGATCATACTGGGATTTAGACTCCATAGTCTAAATCCCAGTATGTGACATGTAAAAGAGTGTAAACAATGACCATCAGCGTCCAGTAAAATAAAAAGCTATTCCTTTTACAAATATCACAACAAATCAGTACAATTATGTGTGTGGTTCACTGTTGCACACTTTATTCTGAAATTACACTTACACAGCCTGCCAGGGACCCCAGCACCATGAACTCACCTTCCAGAATGGCCGGTATACAGTTCTCCTGGACCGCATTTGGCCTACAGATTCCCACCTGTCTGCACTGTTCTATGAGCCATGACGACAGACCCAAATTTTCGAAAGCCTCCATCTCTGCGTCCACACGTGACAGCTGCCACTACTTCCGGCGAGGACAAACGCCCGTCATCACTAAGCGCTGGACGTAATTGGTTGCCGTGGGCCAGTTCTCGCCTCCAATGACGAATGATACAGCTGAGCGGAAGTGAACGTGCAGACAGCCGGAAGTAGTGTCAGATAGACCGGGTGACGTGTCTGGTGTAGAGATGGCCGCACAGGGAGAAGTGGATGAGCTGTTTGATGTGAAGAACTGGTTCTACATTGGAAGTTACCAGCAGAGCATTAACGAGGCTCAGAAAGTTAAGGTGGGTACCCGCAGACATCGGCCTGGTACTAGGTAGGTTGTGTCTGGGAAGGGTGCTCAGTCTAATGTGTAAGAAGAGCCCTTCACAGAAGAGCACAAAATGGTATTTTACTTTGAGCCCTTGTTATTGACTCCAGAAATATCTGTGTGTGTGTGTGTGTGTATGTGTGTGTGTGTGTGTGTGTGTGTGTGTGTGTGTGTGTGTGTTTTGTTGTTGTTGGTGGTGGGTGGGGGCATTGTCTATGGTTGTTTGGCTGTCATGTTGATCCTCTTCCTTGAATACGTATAACTCCTGGATGTTTATTGAGGAGTGTCTAGTACAAATGTTTGTATCTTATAAAAAGTATTTTTTAAATGTTGATTGGGTAAGAATATTAGATACAGCCAACATATTTTGGGGGAAAGGCCTCCTCATTCCTCAGAGCTTTAACTATGGATGTTACTGAAATCATTAGAGTATTTCAGTTGCGACTAGCATCTCCTAACGGTACTCAGATTGGCTGGCTAAGTTGTTCTGTGCGCTGTCCTCCGAGTTCATCATCTGTTAAGTGTTTAGTTTATCATGATTGTTGAGGTCGCAGTGTAGGACCAGAACAAGGTCCATATTCTTTCACAGCAGGTCTAAGTCCTAGACGGCAAATGCACACTACTTAATATCCATTAGAACCATTTTCCACTTTCATTGGTCCAGTGCTATCACACACTCTGACATTGAATATGTTTAGTCACTGACGTGGAATAAACATGCTCTTCCTGATCTCTATACTTATTCTGGGTCAAGTATTGGCTGCAGGCACCTATCGTTTTTAAAAGGTGGTCAGCTATGGAAGTATATGTATTTCTCTCATGACAGGTTTGCATTAAAGAACTCTGGGCATATGAAATCTTAACCCTTGCAGTGGGGCTACTCCCGCACTGCAAGAGTTTGTTTTGTCTAAGGAGCAAAAATAAGAAAGACAATACTCATCCGAACTTTTGAACCAGCTGGTCCCTGCAGTTTCATTCCCCCTCTTTGGTGGTCTAATGTCCTTGGTGTTTTCACGTCTAATACACTGTATTAGACATGATGACTCGCGGGGTCTCAGGCTGCCAGAGCGAAGAGAAAGAATGGCTGCAGTATTTCTTTGTTATTTTTTCTCCCTTCACAAATCGAGCGCTTAACCCTTTCAGGGCGGGGGTAGCCCCACTACAGGGGTTAAGATTTCATATGCCTGGAGGAGTTCTTTAAAACTATAAAGCACTTATTTTCTTTAATATGCAACTCTGAAAGTTATGAAATTCTGTAGGTCAGGGCTGGACAAATCCCAGGAGCCAGGTAGCCAATGCTCCTTAAAACCTTTCTCTAGTTCTTGTCAATAGAACTGGCTCCAAAATAAAACCTGCTGGCTCCTGAATTCCATATTAACTTATCCACCCCTGACGTAGGAGTATTGCTACCCATTTTCAATGAAAAGTTTTATTGAAGATTTTAAAGGCATACAGATTATGCTCCAAATAACATGGTTGACAATGTAAAGACAAACGAAAACAGTAATATGGGTGCATAGAATAGTAAAAACAAGCCACAAAAGTCACTAATCATTCGTAATTGAGTAAAAACATATAACAAAAGCGGTCAGTATAATCAGACTTCCAAAAGAAGAGGGGAGAAGACTTCGAAAAAAATTGAAGTTGAGAAAGCTGAAAGAAGGAAAAAGAAGAATCAGGAAAATAGTGGTCCAGGAATACCTATAGAAAAAAAAAAAGAATCGCAACTGGTCATCAAAGTTCTACACGTAAACCAAAGGCAGGAGAGTGAAGATATTGCAACCATGGTTCCCAAAGACGTTCAAAACTAGGGAGCTTATCTAGTAAACATGCTGTTATTCTTTCAAGAATCCAATGCAACCTGTGCTGCACTTCAGAAAAAGGAATGGAAGTTGACAGCCATGCTTTCGCTTTCATGTGTTTAGTGGTAGTTAGCACAAAAAGGATGCGTTTGCAATAGCTTTTACGGAGGCCTACTGGAGAAAAATTCAATAATTCTAGTGGGCTAGGACTAACTGTGGGAATTAGGAGATTAGATGGGAAACTATAAACCTGGGACCAAAATGTTTGTACTCTGGGACATTGCCACCATACGTGGAAAAAGGGACCCATTTCTCCACAGTCTCGGAAACACAGTCCCATATGACCTGTAGAAAAAATTTTAAGTCGACTAGGGACCATGTACCAGCGAAACATTAACTTATTAACATTCTGAAAGCAAGATTTAGTGGTGTCCCAAATGGTTGTCCACTGTTCTTTCGTAATGGGAGTTCCGATATCCCTTTCCCACGCCAACATGTATTTATGAGAGGGCGAGGTGCGACAAGCCAAAAACAGACCATATAACAAGGAAATCAGTCCATCAAATGAGGAGAATGTAGCTTCAGTGGGATAGGTGGGGACATGGGAAGACAAAATGTTTCACCTGAAGGTAGCGGAACCGTTCGGTTGGGGGTAATTTTATAAAGCTTGCCATACACCTTACAACCATTGCACGACTTTCATCGTGCAATGGTTGTAAGGTAATTAAAATCTCGTACGATCTGCCCATCTTGGACAGGCAGATCGTACTTGCGATCATCGCAAGCCCGCCCCCCTGAGGGGAGGGCTTCCGATGATTCCAATGCTGAACGGGCAGTGTGCACTTGTGCACACCGGCCCGTCCTGCATTTGTCTTCCGGGCACGCCACTAACCCGCCAAAAATCTTACGATGTTCAGCAGTTTTTCCAGCGTGCTCGGAAGGCAAAAGACGAGTGACTGTACAGTAGAAATGGTCGCACGCCTTCCATACACCTGCCGATTATTGTACGATCGCCGGATCACCCGCGATTATCGTACGATAATCGACAGGTGTGTGGGCACCTTTAGTCTCATGCAATCTCTGAAAAGACTTGGGCCTGTCCGTCATGTAGAGCGTATGAAAGCGCGTCATTTTCCCCACATGATCCAACACCGAAAAGCATATGGAGCATCGTAGCCTGGCGGAAAAGAAGGATTTCCAAGAAAAGAAAGCAGTGGTCGATGAGGGTACATGAGGCCACTAGAATATTTATGGGCATCCCAGATTAAAAGAGAGTGATGGGTGATAGGATTACGCAAACAAGGCCTGTCCTTAGGTAGAAGCCAGAGCAGTATTTCAGTATTTTCTCATTTTATCACAACAAAAACAGTTCCTTTTTCTGTGTGCCATTGAGGTGATTGGCGTTGATCAGTGAGGGGATTCGAACCTTTGCTGAGGGATTGCTGCTTCCACACAGAAAGCAAGGATCCTCCTTTACAGCAAGCGTGTGAGGGATAGATTTTTCTACTCTAGAAAATTACCTGACATTGAACACTTTTAGTTTTGATGCACCTGGAAAGTATTTAGGTAATTTACAATCAGAGTTCAATTGGGCTTAAAGTGACATTAAGGGCAAAATTCCCCCCACCCCCAAAAGGCTAATGTAAGGACTTACCTTAAATGATGCCTCTTAATCCGATCATCTTGTTTTTAGCTGTCCCTCAAGCGCTGGTGCGGGTTACCGATCCAGTGCTGACTGCTCTGTCCTCCTCTTCTCTGGTGTCCCACGGAGTCTGTGCAGGTGCACACTGCTCCATATACTTACCTTGTGTCTCTCCTCGTCTCCCGGCCGAACATCTGAACTGCACATGCACTCGCCCCAAAATCCTTTAAGAAATCCCAAGAAATGTTCGGACGGGAGCGCGCTGCGGAGACACAGGTAAGTATTAACCCTTTGAAAAAGTTTTTTTTCTCTCCCGTTCATTGAAGGACACAGGGAACAGATCGGAGATCATGTACTGTAGGTAATATCGCCACCTGCAGGAGAAGGACGCTAGGCACAAAAAAACTAATACAGTACATCATCTCCGATCTGTTCCCTGTGTCCTTCAATGAACGGAGAGAAAAGGATTTTACGGTGAGTACCAAAATCCTATTTTTTTTAAATCGTTTTGCATATATCTACTGCTTGCTAGCTGTAGATATATGCAAAAACATGCAAGGGTTTAATAACCCTTTAAATCGGCACAACAGTGTACATAGCTTTCAGATTTTGGGGCTCTTATGGTGATTGTGTGAATTTTATTCCTTCATATGTCTACATTTATTTTCTGTGTTGTCTTCTATAGCCTTCAAGTCCTGATAAAGAAGTGGAGAGAGATGTATTCCTTTACAGAGCATATATAGCACAGGTAAAATAGTATTCTTGTCATATCATTAGTTTTTCTATATTTATACGCTGTTCATGTTGGATTTTTTGAAAAAAAAAATTGTTTAGCACTGACATCTTTTGTTAATTGAAACAGAGAAAGTATGGCGTAGTTCTGGATGAAATTCGCCCAAATGCCAGTGCAGAGCTGCAGGCTGTGCGCATGTTTGCAGAATATCTATCCAACGAAAGCCGCAGGTGTGTATTTCAATTTCATTTATCTGGTTTATATTTGGCCTTTTTTTTCTTCAAGTATTCCTGTACCACCTAAACCATGTAAACTGGCAGCTGGAAATAAATGCAGATGCACATGCCGTGAGCTTGAAAGCAGAAGGCTGCTTTGTTCTCTGCAAACCTTTACCAGCTTTTTTTTGTTAAAAACTGCCCCTGTCCTGTCCCTTTCTGTTGATCATTTAGCCCATTCATCTTAGTTTTGGACCAGTAGAGATGTACAGGAGGTGGTTGTGAGCAGGGGCTTTGCATAACAGAG